ATATCTCTGTCATTGACATTTAACTTCACACCTCTCGCGTGAAGTAGCGATTCAGCTGCTCGCCGGCGGCAAGGTCACGAGCTTGCAAATTTACAAAGTGCTACAAACGAAACGTGTTGACGGGCGATTTAAATTTGCACGCAAAAAGTGGCCGAAAACCGCTGAGCTGGTCAGGAACGAGCTTGCGGCGAGTGCAAAAAAAATAGCATACCGTGACCCAGTAAAAAACCGCAAATAAAAGTGAACTTGAGAAGCGGAGCCGCTCGCTTTAACCCAGAAAGCAAATCGCACGAGCTTTATCTCCAAAGCACACACACTGCGCGTCGTCTTCTCCAAATTGTTTTATTGCTTGAAAATAAAAGGCAAAACTCGCCGCTCATTAGCTTTTATGTACACTTACTTAACTCGCACGTAAGCAGTTCTTGCTCTCAGTGTCTGCAGGACGGCCTTTCCAAACACGGCCCGAAAATATTTATCTTTTCCGACGAGCGACGAGACCTAAAGTCGAAAGGAAAACTTTGCAGGCTTTGCTAAACGTGTGTCTCTTTGCAATGGATTTTTGTGCCGGCAAGTCCTGTTTATTCCAAGTCAAGCTTTTAGGGTCCCAGAAGTCAGACAATTAATTTCATTTACAAAGAGTCCAAAACGGAAAAGAACATTAAATTTAAAAATCATTTGATACTAATAAATTAAGACTTTGAATCTATTACAAAATGTAATATTTAAATAATTTGTTTTTAATTTTAATATATTAAAATGATATTTTTTTTTTATTAAATTTAAAGTAAATTTCAATATGAACTTTACTAGTAATTTTATATTTTATAATTGAAAAGAAAAGTTAATTTTTATTACAAAGATAATGCGTTTGAGATTTTTATCACCCACAGTACTTCTGGAATAATTTAACTAGTTTTTTGGCATAAAATGGTAACTTGAATTTTTAATTAAACAGAAAGAAAGTAATTTTTAATTCGAATAATTAATTCAGATTAAGGAATGTATTGAAAGAAATATTTTTCAGAACTTTTATACAATATAATTGGTACACTTGATCACAACTGAAGGAACGTCTCAAAATTTTAGCACAAAACCACGCAAAACTTGAGTGCGTCATTTCCTGGTCCACCCACCCACGCAATCTCTCGGCAATTACACCGACTTGGCTTCTGCTCGCCGAAGCAATTATAAACATTATGCAAATGCCATATAAATAATCATCATCATTATGAAATTACACTCTCGTCGTGCAGAAAACAAACTTCTCTGGTGTTGCGGACCGACACAGCCGCGGGTCCCGCTGAACAAATACGCGCGGAGACTCTTCTTGTGTATCCAACGTAGTACACGCAAATCTCCGAAGTTGTTTGCGTAAATCGTTATCTCACGACTTGCAAATGCGAAGTGCACACGTTTGTGTTGTTTCAGCGCGTGCAAGAACAGATACTGTATGTATTAAAGTTTAAAACCAACCGAGTTGCTTCTGCGCTGGATGCTGAGAGAGCTAATTCCGAGGTGAAAACTGTCCTCAAACGCACCAATGAGAGCTTAAATGAGCTTTCTCTGAGCAATGAATTTGAATAATAAAGTTAAATGAAATAAAACACTTTTGCATGATGACTGTCAAAAATTAGTGACAATTAGTATAAAAAAATATATGTGAGAAAACTTTGTCACATAAATTTGTTACAGTTAAAAATCTCAAGAATTTTTTTAAGTTTGCTTCTCCCTTAAATCAGATATAATAATAAATAAAACTCGTTTATTGTTTTGTAAATTTATTTTCAAGAAATTGAAACTTGCCAAGTTTCCAAGAGCCGATCTCCCCCTCTTGCAAATTTTAATGTCCACTTTGCAGAGGCAACATATGATGTGGTAATATTCCAACTTGCAATTACTTTGGAAACCTTTGCCCCCCAAAATTGCCGTGCATAGAAGTGAAGTTTGTTCGACTCGAGCATAATTTTGTGAGTTTGGGCCGAAAATCGCCGCACATTCGAGGGGCAGATTGGCCGGTTGTGATTGAACGACCCTTGCTTTCTCGAGACCGGCAATTTCTGGGAATTTGCGCCGTAAATTGGCTTGCGTCATAAAGTTACGTAATATCCCTGCAGGGCTTGTTGTGTAAGGAGGCTTTCATTGAAATTCTGCCGACTTACGGAGATATTAGCGCGGAATTAGTAGCAACTATATAAAGTCGTTACACCGTCTAGCTCATCCCCAGTATATTTGCTGGCAACTTTGATGATATCTCGGACCGAAAAGTTAACGCGCGCGTGCCGAAAGACGGCTTAATTTATTTTGATGTAGTTGGCGCTGCGAAACTTTTTGCAGACCTTCATTTGCATATTTCCTTTTAAAGATTACACGCGTGTCGCCCCTCCACTGACTGAGAGAGAGATTCGGTCAAAATTAACCTTTTCAAGCCGTATTAGCACGTCCGTCGCAGATGAGCCTGGATTTGGATTAAGTAAATGAAATTGGCACGGGTTTATTTTTAGAATTACTTTCTTCTCGTTGTAACGTTCTGATGGTGAAGTTTTATGATTAAAAATTTAGCATATTTTCTCTTTTTGAAATTCATTTTAAGATTTGCATATAAAAGCCTAAAATATTTTTTTCCTATTTATTGATATAAATTTTATAAAATACTTTGGAAATGAAGACAAGCTTTTTTTTGGAACATTATAAAAATTGCAAATATTTCACACATTTTAGACAGAACAAGATAAAAACAGAGTCAACATCTGATTGCGAATCAGCAGTGAGTTGAAAGACTTTTCACGCTCCATCAAGAAGGCTAGAGGAGCGAGCGCAATTTGTTATTTAAAAATTCAAAGGTCGCCGCCGCCGGAGTTTTCCGCCTCTCCATTCAAATTGAGGAGGTGCCGTAGATTGAGCGCTGATTGCATAAAAATTCAAATTTACAGCGACGTGCGACGAGAGTGAGAAAAAAGGATTTTCTCTCTTTTCCAAGGGTAGCCAAATTGCGTGACAGAAAAAAGGTCTGATTTCAAAAGTAGGAAGGTTGTAATTTGGAACATGAATAGGAAAATTAAGATTTGAATAAAAAAACAAAATCCTATTATTTTAATGAAAAACTAAAAATAAGATCATGACTTATTTAAATGGAAATAAAATCCTGCACATATGAGCATAATTAAAAAGGTGATGACTTACTTTTGGACATTTATTCGATGCAATTTTTTAATGAAATAACTTAATCTTTGAAAGGCAGAGATAATCACTTTAGACTCTTTGCTTTTTTCAATGTGAAATGAAATAACTGAATTTAATTCAAAGGCCAATAAAGAAACAAATAACTTTGTTTCTTGTTTTTTTTTTCATTTCAATATCTTGAAAAGTGGAATGTTGCCGGAGTGCAATTTTTCGCACAGATTTTTCTAATATTTGTGCGGCGCCTCTCAGGCGAGTGCAATTTGCTTTCTAATTGCAGTCGCGTCCTCGTCATAACTTAATTCGATCATGCACTCGCTCGCTCGCTACTCTCTCGCAGTCACGACTCCAGCACCGAGCAAATGGAAATGTCAAGAAGGTGTTTTGTTTTAAAACAAACAACACGTGCACCTTATTTATTTCCAGTGTTCGTCCATCAGGCGCTTTTCAACAAAAATCTAGATTCTAACCTGAATTTCGCGATAATTAAAACCGAGAGCTTTTGCATCCGCTGATTATGCGAGTTTCCCTCCGGGGAGCTGAAAAAAGATAAAGCAGAGTGTCTCGTTTGATAAAAATTTATATATTTGCCAGATGCATCAACGCCTACGGATAAAATCGCGCTTTTAATGGGCGAAAGTTCAATAAAGCGCGGCAAGAACGCTGGTAAATATTTTTTTTCTAAAAGCGGAGAACTTGCTTAAGGCTAAAAGGGAGGAAAGTCATTAAATCATTTTGAAACGGTTGAAAAGCTTGGAAGAAAAAGGGACTCATTAATTAATAATCGGACCTGCTTCAACTTCTACAGATAAAGAGATAAAAATCTTTCCAAAAAGTAAAGAAACAAAACCTTATAATATCACATTTCTAATATTATGTTAACATTACAAAAATTTTAATTAAAATTTATGATATTGTAAATTAATAGAATTTTTTATTTCAAAAGTATTCTTTCATTATAATACATAAGTATTTAACATTTTTATAAGCTTTAATAAAAATTATCTATAAATTTAATTTAGCAATTGAAATCACCAGCGTTTATTGTATTTTTTTTTTATCACGTCTTCAAATATATTTGTTTTGGATGCAATTAAATTATATTATATTGTTTGCTTCCGAGTTAAAGTTCTATCAATCTGTTGTCGTTTTCCTGATTCAGAAGAATCAAATTTTTAATTCGAGTAAATTTGAGAATTAAATTGTGTTAACTCCCAGGCGTGGAAATAAATATTGAAAGCTGCAGCAATCCATTTAAACTGACTAATTTAACCAAAAGTTTTCCCATTAAAAACGCTTTCGCTCTCTTTTTCTCCGTTTTTCTGTGTGCAAATTTTATCGGAAAAATGATTTGCTTTGAGGATAGAAGACGAGAGGCGAAAGTGCTCCTGTTGTGCGCGAAATTGCACGCCGCCGCCGCTGAATATGCAATTCGCCATTAGACGAAGAGGGATCGTCTCTCTTTCTTTGTGTGTTGCCAAGGAAAAGATGAATGATGCGCCTCTTCGCTCCACCATATTTATATATTCCGAGGAAAAAACGATGATGATCCTCTCTCGGAGCGTCTCTTTTTAACTCCAAGTAAAATTCCACGAGAAAAGTATACAGCATATTAGAAAATTCCGAGAGCAAATAATCGAGATTCCCTCTCATTTCGCAATATTACCGAAATTGCGGTATGCGGCACGCACGAGAAAATTGCTTAATTAAAGCCGAGGCCAAAAACACGCCCTGCGATAATAATTGCTATAGCGAGAAAATGAACCCCCAGTTTTGTAGCAACCAAGAAATTAATAAACAACCCTTGTTTCTGCGTGTTTCAGGCTTCATCAACTGCGGTACGGCAACCCTACAAAGTCTCGCCCAGCTGCACGGTGAGTACCAACTCAAAACTTCTTCTTCGCCAAGAGCAAATATCAACAATTTATTTTCTTTCCCTCGCTCGCCGATTCCGCGGCGCTAGAAAGAGCCTTCTTTGTGTTTCGCCTCCCCAGGGGGATATTTTAATAATTTCCATGGTAATAGTCTCTGCGCAGCTCCCCACTTATTCTCTACACCCTCTATTACGTTTGGCAAAAATTATTCCGCATCTCGTTCTTAAAGATTTCCTCCCCCTCTCGATTCTTACCTTCTCGCCACCGGTGCGAATGAGAAGAAGAGCCAATTTTGAATTGCAGATTTACAACGTGGAGTGATTTGATGCAAACGTTTTAATCCGAGTTTGCTCTCACCGGGATATAAACACGCCGAAATTGTTTCCACCGTTTACTCTGAGGGTGGATTAAAGAGTCTCGAGGAATAACGAAACGGTTTTAAATTTGATTACCTCGTATGGATCGCTCGGAGGAAAATGAAGATTTTATTACAAAAGTGCATTTTGGATAAGAAATTTCCTTCATTTTTCGTGGCTTCCGAATGAAATTGGGTAAAATGCATCCTTGGCAAGGTGGAGAAGATCATGCCTGCTTCAGTCATAATTATGGAGAATTGAGATATTCATTGAAAGTTTAATTAAATTTGCTGGTGGCGGACATACAGGGTAGGGAGGATTTGGAGGCAAAAACACGACGAAAAAATATTTTATGTACATGTAAGTACGAAATTTATTGCTTTGATTTGGAGTGGTGCACAATATTAATAACAGATCAGGATTAAAATTAAAATTACGTTAAAGCCAAATAAAAATCAGTCAGTTAAAATTTCTTTGAAAAGAGAAAAAGGTACGTCAAGAAAGAGGAAAATAAGGAGATTCTCAACCCAGCGTCAACTCAAACACTGTAAATGCGCGACTTAGAAGTAATTTATTTTGTCCTTGGGTGCAGGTCCTCAAACATGCTTCGACGCCTCTGCTCGCAGTCGATCACGGCCGCCAGCGAGCTTCGATCTGAGATTAATTAGGGTTATACTTCTAGGGATCAAGTATATTGGAAATAAAATACCAATGCAGCCGTGCTTTGGGATTCCGTTGGTCTCGCACAAGACGTTCGGAACGGGTTGTGTCTGATGACGTCGGTCTGCTCTGCAGGGAGGTAGCTGTAATCGAGCTGCAGGTCGGCAGGGCGAGGGGCAAATGACGAATGACGCCGGCGTTGTTGTTCAGGCGCCGGCGGGCGACGTTGTAGAACTTGGTCGCGAGGGTGCTGCGCCCTGAAGAAAAGCAATTTTCGTAATAGATTAATGGTGCTTCGGTTAAGATATGGGGAAATATTAACTCACTCTCTGTGTATTCGACGGGCTGGTCATTCATGGCGCAGACCAAGTACTGGGTGGCAACATTGACGTGCGTTCTTATGCCCGCCGTGCCCATGAAGAGGTTGAGACGTGGGCACTGACTGATCACACCCTCCGCAGTGTCAGTGAGGTACACGGGGATGTTCATTGCAGACGAGAGCGGCGAGATTTACAAAATTTAAGAACGGTGAAAGCAGCTGCGAATTTATATCGTTTGATATTTGAATGCAACAATGGAAATATAACGGCCCTGCCAGTCTGATGAGAATCCGCTTGTTGAGATTTTTCGACTGTTGCAAAATGCAAAATTTTTTATCGTTGTCTTACAATGAAATACTCAAATTTCAAGCGTCGCTAGGTAAGAATTTTTTTTTTTTAATAATTCTTTGACAAAGAGCGCCGGGCCGAGTTATGAAAGTGTCCGGTCGCCAAGAATGTTAACTTTTTGTTAATAATATTATGCACACAGTGACAAAGGATTAAAAAAAAAGGACGGAAAATATAGCCAAAATAAATTTTCCATCATTTCTTTCATACATTTGGTGACGCGCGTGTTTGGGCCATAATTTTCAGATTATTTTGGCAATTCTCAGAATTTCCACTTCTTCATGTGTTCAAAAAATTGGCTCATCAACAATGACAGGCCGAACTAGGTTCGTGCATCACAACAGTGAATCATAACTTTGATTGTTGTTTGAGCAACAATCACAATTTGCTCTTTATATTATATTATTATAGTAAATTATAACAACATATTAAATCGTTCTAACGTAAATCGTTAGAAAAATGTAATTGAAAAAATGTTAAATTAATAAACTTGCATATTGATGTAAAAAAAAATCAAATGGAGTAAAATTCATCTAATGAATTATGAATAATTTCTATGAAAAAGTTAACGTTACATTAAAAAATAAAATACAAATCAATATTTTTGGCGATGATCCCCTTTGAAATCACCCCACAAGATGAATATTAATTTCTCTTGGAATAATATTTGAATATATTTATCGCTTTTTCCTTTCACAAAGAAACCTTTTTCAATGCTTTTCCTTCTCTTTCTTCTTTTCCGCTCTCCCCTGATTTGATCTTCCGCTGTCAGCAAACGCATTTTGGCAAGAGTTGCACTTCTTCCCCTTGCATTCGGAGAAATACGTGTCACTGCTCCGCTTTCATATCCACTGTGTTTGCCCAGCAAGCACGCCGGAGATAAACACGAATATATTCCGCTCGCAGCCAAATTCCTCCCGAAGAAAAAAATCCTCTGGCGCGCGCAATCCACTTAATAATACTTCGCTTCCCTCTTTTCCACCACGGCTTGGCACGAAAATTGCAATTTGTCGCCAGCTCCGCTCGAGTGAATTAAATTTTGCAGTTTTAATAAAACCGAGCGAGTTTCTTCTTCTTCCAAAAAATCTCTCTTGTATAATAATTGTTTTAAAAGCGGAGCGCTTTTATTTTATTGAAGGAGAAAATGAAATAAAAAAGCCGCCAAGGATATAAAAATAAAAAATAAAAATTGTGCGAAATATTTTCGTCCAAAGGCGACAGCTGAGCAGAGCGTAAAAGGAAATAGCCTTTTTATTTCGCACACACCAGCAGAGTAATATCGAGAGAGAATCCGGCCGTCTGCTCATTGAGATGCTGCCGGTGATTACCTTTTATCCGTCGCGTGTGTGTCTAATAATAACACACTGGTTGCCGCCTTTGAAATGAAAGGCAAAAAAGTTGCTGTAAAATTGCAACAACAACAAAAATAATATCATGAAAGTGAGTTGGCGAGTGCTGATGAATATTACTGGTTGGGTGATTCAAATCGTCTGATGCAATACACAAAACATAAATAATATTAGGAATTTATTCAGTGAGATGAAAATTGTTTGATATTTGGTGAATGTGAAAAATATTATTGAAAAATGTCAATTTTTAATTATTGAATTTTTTTAATGCAAATAAGAAAAATAATGAAATTTATCGCTGAAACAAAACAACGATAATTCAAAAATTGAATTTGTGATGCGGCAAAACATAAATTTTTATCCCCCATCTCCTTCAATAATAAAAAAAAAATAAATTGATGCAAAAAATTATATACTTGAATAATTATTTATTGAATATTTATTTTTACTATGATCACCTCTTAATCATAAAATTCATGAATGAAAAAAATCTATCCACAAGAGACCGGAAATACAAGCCCTGATTTTTACTTTCCAATCTTCCCCTCGGATCGAACAAACCGCCGCCGGCCACGGTCCGGCGAGGGTCGATTTTCGCAGGCAGCTCAGGTGCGGCCAATAAATTAAAACAGCAGATTAAAACAGAACACCTGCCAACAACAAAGGATAAGAAGTGCGATTTATTCGTCCATCGAGGGGACGGAAACAAGCCACAAATTTCAATTCAACTCGCGCGCCCCAGGAGAGAACAAGGCCCATTCATCGCCCTCGCCTCCCTAGCTGCTCTGGAAAAATAGAGACGTGACCCCGGCAGATTCGCTTTTTCCGATCGTTTCGTCGAGTTTGTTCCCTCTTTTGGACCCTCGCCGAGCGGCAATTAGACCAATTTATGGGCTCATTAGAATATACATGCGTCCCGCGGGCGGATTTGCCTCGTGCGGTGATTATGGCTGTAATTTCTTTAGCTGTGGAATTAGGAATTATTCAATTATGCAGAAGAGCTGTGCAGACCGAAAAAGAGTAGCGCGAGAAAACTAACTAACCCGACCGAGTTAATGGGGGCGACAGAGGTTAAACCGGCTGTTTATTTTCATTGCACGCGTTGAGGCTTCGTGATTTTTGTCCCTCGTCTGGTTTGTAAAATGTAACGAAGACTCAATTGGAAAAAGGGAATTAATTATTGAAGATAAAATAAGAACACCTTTATGAAGATGAATTCAAGTGACATCATGGTTATGAAAAATTTACAGAAGGGATATCAATTTTTAATTCTAATAATCTGTTCACAAAAAAGAAGCATTTAAATTGAACAATATGCAAATTAACTTAATGGAAATTCATAGAATGTGCTTCTTATGAAATTTTAAGAATATTTTATTTAATAAGTGAAAATCTGTTCAATTGCAAATAATCTAATTTTCCTCTAAAATGCAGGAAAAGTTAAAAATTATTCTCAATTTAATATTTATTTTATTAGCTAATAGTTTTATCTCAATTAAATTTGCTGTAAAATATTCTCCTTCAAGGATAAAGTTTTTTTCATCCATCTCTCCTTTGATGTTTGAAGTCAGCCGTGAACATTTCAATTTGCAGCCCAGCTGATGCAGAGTTGCAGCACACGTGCGCCCGAGTTAAAATTTTAATGAGAACAGAGAGCGCGCAGGGTGGCGAGGCCGAAAACAAACATGGCCTCATTCAAAATCAAAGCCTGGCTCATTAGTCTCTCCCTCGAAATAAAAGAAGCGGGAATCTGCACGTGTGCTGCACATTCAAATGAATTGAGAGGAAGCAAAAAACCTCGAGAGAGTTCATTTTGCAAAAGAGTGTCGTCGGCCGGGCAGCTCGGGTGCAGCCAGAAAATCAATGCAGCCTACCAGGCCTAACGAAATGCAGCTGCACTGCAGCTAGGCAGCGTTGCTGGGTCGCGGGTTCGATCCTCGGCTGACCTACTTGCTGCAGTCTCTCTC